AATTTACCTGAGATGCCCAAAATGCCCCAAGTCGGTGGTCCTGGAAAGTCCAAATTTCCCTGGTCGATTCATCTCCCCTTCTTGCTGAGTCATCCCCCAGATTCCTTCTTATCCATAGGTGGACAAGGGGTTCTAATGAATACGCCAAGTGTATGGAGTCGACTGCATGCTTTATGTGTCGAGATATGGGACGTCGACCTCGAGTGCATGTTTTATGCGTCGAGATATGGGACGTTGACCTCGAGTACCCCTTTAACCACTCATGTTCCTACTGTTCAGGGGTCATGTCCCCGTAGGTTCTCGAATATATGTCGACTTCTAGGAAGGCCGACCGACTCAAGTCGACCTTTATGAGTCGACCTATACAAGGTCTACTTTTCCGATACTCTGCTTTACGGCCGGGTCGACTTTGAACGAAGTCGACTTAAGCATCTTCTCGTCCCGAGTCGATGCGCGGGAGGAGCTGATAACCTTCAAATCGAAGAGAGAGAGCCTTTGGATCGGTATATCTTTATAAGGCTATATCAAATGAATTGACCATTGTTATTTAACTTTGACTTCATCATGTCCTTAGATACAATTGATCTAGTGATTCAGAATCATTCTTATTTCTTTCACTATCTACCAATCTCATATGATCCTTTCTCTCTCTCTCTCTCTCTCTCTCTCTATATATATATATTATTCAATTATGTGATTTATTATCAGTTATATGAACCACACGGGTTGTATAGTAATTTCTGAATAAAAAAATTAAAATTATACTTATTTTGAAACGAATATAATGTGATTTATTATCAGTTTTGTGAACAGCACGGGCTGTGTACTAATTTTAAATAGAATTTTTTTATGTAATTTTGTACAATTTAAACTTTATATAACATTTTCAATAAATTAAAATAGGTAATTGTATTACATATTGATTCCATATTTTTAATTTATAAATATTACTTAATAAGAATTTTAATTTATAAATATTAGAGAATATCTTTTAACTGTGCACTACGAGACTCATTGTTGGAATATCACTTGTGAGTGTCCCACATTGATTCTATAGGAAAAATGAGTCTAGTATATAAGCCTAGTGGGCTACTCCTCCTATCACCAATTGGTTTTGGGATGGGACCTCACTAAAGTGTATCTAGGCTCACCCTCTTATGGTGCGTATCATCTGGTGGGACCGCACTCTCTTCCTCGTTTCTAATATGGTATCAGAGCGGGCCTGTCCTAGGACCTGCAATGACTATCTCTACCCGGCCTGCTCTGGGCTTGGGCTTATCTCTCTACCCGACCTGCTATGTGGGCTTGGGCTTACGAAGGACTCACAAGTGAGGGGGCGTGTTGAAATATCACTTGTGAGTGTCCCACATTGACTCTATAGGGAAAATGAGTCTAGTATATAAGCCTAGTGGGCTACCTCTCCTATCACTAATTGGTTTTGGGATGAAACCTCACTAAAGTGCATCTAGGCTCACCCTCTTATGGTGCGCCTTCATCTGGTGGGACCGCACTCTCTTCCCCCGTTTCTAATACTCATACTAGTTTATATAAATTAGAAAATAACTATAATTTTAATTATATATTGTTAAATAATTACTTATAATTTGATTCGAGTAATCTTGTAAAAATAATTATGTTATAAAAACTTCCTTGGAAAAGTAATTATATTAAAGAAACCTAATTTTTCTTTATACTTTCAAAAATATTAGATTTTTTTCTTAAAGTTGTTATTTTTATAATTAAAAGAATAATTAATGTCTAATTA